TTGCTTTTTGGCCCAGGCAGGGTAAGACGAAGCCAGGACGAGGATATCATCGGGTGAGGGTAAATCGATGCTCTCTGAGATCTGGCGGCTCTGGAGGATATCTCGGGCGCCGCGAACTTCTCAGAGCGTCTCGGAACGTTCTGAGAGCGTTCCCGAGCGCTCTGGAACGGATTTATCCTTGACCCAGCCACGCCCGGCCGACCCCTTTCTCTGGTGCTGGATGTTCACCCCGAGCCGGTTCCTAACGGCGCTAGGTCCAAGCGAGGGCCCCCCGAAGCCGAAAACAATCAAACAACGCTCGTCGTGATTTCCCTGAAATCCGACGTCACGGACAAAATGCAACATTGTAAAGAAAAACTCAATCGGAACCAATTTTTCAAGCTGGATCGATCCTTGAGGATCCTGGGGCCCGAAACCGGGCGACATCGCTAGTTGCAAAACAATGCGACACATCTCAGCCCAGACATGCGTTGTCCTGCTTTTATCAGAACGCGGTCCCCCCAGACGCCCCGATCCTTTCCCCAGGATCGGCTTCGCAGCCAGCGTCGTTTTTGACGGCCCCGCGGGGCCCGGTGAGGGCCACCTCAAACCGACAAAAACCTCCACCCCTTCTTTTTCCCAACCCTCCTTGGTTGGGTATTCGTTTTGAATAGACGGGTGTGGTCGCGTCCTTCTCCCGCCCCGGCCCCTTGTGGTCGCCGTCCCTGGGGGGCTGCGACCTGCGAAACTGTCGCCACTTTCGAGGGCTGCTGGTGGGTCCTGCGGAGTGAGGCACCGCGCGGATCTGCGCGGGACCTCGCCGAACCTGGGGGGCTGCGATCTGCGAAACTGTCGCCACTTTCGAGGGCTGCTGGTGGGTCCTGCGGAGTGAGGCACCGCGTGGATCTCAGCGGGACCTCGCCGTCCCTGGGGGGCTGCGATCTGCGAAACGGTCGCCACTTTCGAGGGCTGCTGGTGGGTCCCGCGGAGTGAGGCACCGCGCGGATCTGAGCGGGACCTCGCCGTGCCTGGAGGCTGCGATCTGCGAAACTGTCGCCACTTTCGAGGGCTGCTGGTGGGTCCCGCGGAGTGAGGCACCGCGCGGATCTGAGCGGGACCTCGCCGTGCCTGGGGGGCTGCGATCTGCGAAACTGTCGCCACTTTCGAGGGCTGCTGGTGGGTCCCGCGGAGTGAGGCACCGCGCGGATCTGAGCGCGACCTCGCCGTCCCAGGGGGGCTGCGATCTGTGAAACGGTCGCCACTTTCGAGGGCTGCTGGTGGGTCCTGCGGAGTGAGGCACCGCGCGGATCTGCGCGGGACCTCGCCGTTCCTGGGGGGCTGCGATCTGCGAAACTGTCGCCACTTTCGAGGGATGCTGGTGGGTCCTGCGGAGTGAGGCACCGCGCGGATCTGAGCGGGACCTCGCCGTCCCTGGGGTGCTGCGGTCTGCGAGACTGTCGCCACTTTCGAGGGCTGCTGGTGGGTCCTGCGGAGTGAGGCACCGCGCGGATCTGAGCGGGACCTCGCCGTGCCTGGGGGGCTGCGATCTGTGAAATTGTTCCAACTTTCAAATGCTGCTGGTGGGTCCAGCGGAGTGAGGCACCGCGCGGATCTGCGCGGGACCTCGCCGTGCCTGGGGGGCTGCGATCAGCGAAGCTGTCGCCACTTTCGAGGGCTGGTGGCGGGTTCAGCGGAGCGAGGCACCTGGCATAGCTGAGCGGGACCTCGCCGTCCCTGGGGTGCATCGATCTGCGAGACTGTCGCAACTTTCGAGGGCTGCTGGTGGGTCCTGCGGGGTGAGGCGCCGCGCGGATATGAGCGGGACCTCGCCATGCCTGGGGGGCTGCGAACTGCGACACTGTCGCCACTTTCGAAGGCTGCTGGTGGGTCCAGCGGAGTGAGGCACCGCGCGGATCTGAGCGCGACCTCGCCGTCCCTGGGGGGCTGCGATCTGTGAAACGGTCACCACTTTCGAGGGCTGCTGGTGGGTCCTGCGGGGTGAGGCACCGCGCGGATCTGCGCGGGACCTCGCCGTGCCTGGGGGGCTGCGATCTGCGAAACGGTCGCCACTTTCGAGGGCTGCTGGTGGGTCCCGCGGAGATCTGAGCGGGACCTCGCCGTCCCTGGGGTGCTGCGGTCTGCGAGACTGTCGCCACTTTCGAGGGCTGCTGGTGGGTCCTGCGGAGTGAGGCACCGCGCGGATCTGAGCGGGATCTCGCCGTCCCTGGGGTGCTGCGATCTGCGAAACTGTCGCTTCTTTCGAGGGCTGCTGGTGGGTCCTGCGGAGTGAGGCACCGCGCGGATCTGAGCGGGACCTCGCCGTGCCTGGGGGGGTGCGATCTGCGAAATTGTCGTCACTTTCGAGGGCTGCTGGTGGGTCCAGCGGAGTGAGGCACCGCGCAGATCTGAGCGGGACCTCGCCGTGCCTGGGGGGCTGCGATCTGCGAAGCGGTCGCCACTTTCGAGGGCTGCTGGTGGGTCCAGCGGAGTGAGGCACCGCGCAGATCTGAGCGGGACCTCGCCGTCCCTCGGGGTCTGCGATCAGCGAAACTGTCGTCACGTTCGAGGGCTGCTGGTGGGCCCTGCGGAGTGAGGCACCGCGCGGATCTGAACGGGACCTCGCCGTGCCTGGGGGGCTGCGATCTGCGAAACTGTCGCCACTTTCGAGGGTTGCTGGTGGGTCCTGCGGAGTGAATCACCGCGCAGATCTGAACGGGACCTCGCCGTCCCTGGGGGGCTGCGATCCGCGAAGCTGTCGCCACTTTCGAGGGCTGCTGGTGGGTCCTGCGGAGTGAGGCACCGCGCAGATCTGAGCGGGACCTCGCCGCCCCTGGGGGGCTGCGATCTGCGAAACTGTCGCCACTTTCGAGGGCTGCTGGTGGGTCCAGCGGAGTGAGGCACCGCGCGGATCTGAGCGGGACCTCGCCGTGCCTGGGGGGCTGCGATCTGCGAAACTGTCGCCACTTTCGAGGGCTGCTGGTGGGTCCAGCGGGTGAGGCACCGCGCAGATCTGAGCGCAACCTCGCCGTGCCTGGAGGGCTGCGAACTGCGAAACTGTCGCCACTTTCGAGGGCTGCTTGGGGGGCCAGCATAGCGATCTGCTGAACTGTCGCCACCTTCGAAGGCTGCTGGCGTGTCCAGCGGAGCGTGGTACTGCGCGGATCTGAGCGGGACCTCGCCGTGCCTGGGGGGCTGCGATCTGCGAAACTGTCGCCACTTTCGAGGGCTGCTGGTGGGTCCTGCGGAGTGAGGCACCGCGCAGATCCGAGCGGGACCTCGCCGCCCCTGGGGGGCTGCGATCTGCGAAACGGTCGCCACTTTCGAGGGCTGCTGGTGGGTCCAGCGGAGTGAGGCGCCGCGCGGATCTGAGCGCGACCTCGCCGTGCCTGGGGGGCTGCGATCTGCGAAATTGTTCCAACTTTCGAAGGCTGCTGGTGGGTCCTGCGGAGTGAGGCACCGCGCAGATCTGAGCGGGACCTCACCGTGTCTGGGGGGCTGCGATCTGCGAAACCGTCACAACTTTCGAAGGCTGGTGGCGGGTTCAGCGGAGCGAGGCACCCGGCATAGCTGAGCGAGACATCGCAATCCTTGGGGGGCTGCGAGCCTCACGAATGCCGCTCGCAGAAGTATATGCGCCCATGTCACGGCATCACCTCCGTATAACGTCTCCCCAGCTACTCATACCCCGCATTGCGCAGGGGTTGTGTAATGCGGGATGACGATTAATAAAGATAATGGGGGAACGATTAAAAAATAGTTTTCTGCGATTTCTGCACAATTTTCGGACTGGAAGAGAACGTTTACAGCTTTCCAGCCCGCGGCCGGTGTTTTCTACTAATCGTCATCCCGGTCGCCGCCGCGTGAACACGACCCCCGGTCATTTATTAATCGTCATCCTCCATTACGTCGCCAGGGTAATTTTCACGTTGCAGGCATGTCTGGGGTCTGAGGGGAAGCGTCTAATTTGGGGGTGCTAGAGGTGCCCCTGGTTCAAGGTGCCCCCAGCTTTTCGCTGGGCTCTGGAGCCCCCACAGGGCCGTCTGGCCCTCGTGAGTGATGCTCTGGAGGCCGTGGGGGCCTCCTTTAACACGAAGCCAGGACAAGGATACAATCTTGTGAGGATAAATCGAGACTCTCTGAGATCTGGCGGCTGGCGGCTCTGGAGCATGTCTCGGGCGCCGCGGCCTTCTCAGAGCCTTCCCGAACGCTCTGAGAGCGTCCCAGAACGCTCTGGAATGGGCGTGCTGAGTCCGATCCTCGGAAACCCTGGGGGCACCTTGGGCCAGGGGCACTTTTATATGGGGGGAGCAAACGCGTGCACCACTGGATTTTCTTAACAATGCTGCTTAAATGAGTGCGAAGGAACGAGGGAGAGGAGGAGGAAGACAGGGCCGAGGGGGAAGCCACGACGAGCCCGAAGCGCAGCAACAACACAGCGACCGACGTCTGGGAGGGGCCAGGCCCAGACCCCCGACGTCATGATTTGTTCACGACGCGGCCCACAGAGGTCCGGACCCATCCCCCCGGACCAATTGTTCATCCTGAGCTGGTTTTTGACGGCCCCGAGGCCCAGTAAGGGCCCCCGGAGGCAGAAAATTGCGAAAAACCTCCCCTCGTAACTTTGTCATGGCTCGAGGGGCTGGGGGGCACCTCTGGCAACGCCCGACGTCTGGGAGGGGCCCACGAGTCGTCGTCGTCGTCGTCGTCGTCGTCGTCGTCGTCGTCGTCGTCGTCGTCGTCGTCGTCGTCGTCGTCGTCGTCGTCGTCGTCGTCGTGGTCGTCGTCGTCGTCGTCTTTTTCGTCTTTTTCGTCGTCTTCGTCGTCGTCGTCGTCGTCGTCGTCGTCGTCGTCGTCGTCGTCGTCGTCGTCGTCGTCGTCGTCGTCGTGGTCGTCGTCGTCGTCTTTTTCGTCTTTTTCGTCTTTTTCGTCTTTTTCGTCGTCGTCTTTTTCGTCGTCGTCGTCGTCGTCGTCGTCGTCGTCGCCGCCCGCGAGGGCCCGGCGCCGGGGCCGTGCTCGGGCGCCCGGTCTCCAGCGCCGCCTCCACGGTGCGGGCCACGTCCAGGGCCGGCGCCAGCGCCTCGGCTGCGAGTGCGGCGGCCCAGGCGGCGGCCACCTGGGCGGATCGACGATCGTTGTCGTTATCGTCATCGGCGTCGGATGCATGATCGGTCCGATCCTAACCGTCGACGAAGCCAGGACGAGGATAACATTGGGTGAGGACAAGACGAGAATCTCTGAGATCCAGCGGCTCCGGAGGACGTCTTGAGCGCCGCGGCCTTCTCAGAGCGTTCTGGAGCTCTCTGAGAGCGTCCTGGAACGCTCTCGGACGGATTTATCCTCGTCCTGGCCCCGTCTGATAACCGCTGCTGGATACCACATCAGTCCCGTCGCATATCTGGGCCCAGGGGATGCCCGCTCGGAGGCGAGACGACCCTGGGACGGACTCTGCGACCACGCGCGAACCCTGCGGGACCCGTCGGCGCTGGGGTACCGGACACTTCCACTGGGGCACATATCGGGAGCCTTGACACGGGGGTCAGTGCAAACGGGGGGCAGCCAGAACGCGCGATCCTGCAGAACCCTGCACCGCCAGGAGTGCACAGAACCGACTTCGGGAGCCTCGACACGGGGGTGAGTGCAAACGGGGGGCAGCCAGAGCACCCGATACTGCAGAACCCTGCACCGCCGGGGGTGCACAGAACCGACTTCGGGAGCCTCGACACGGGGGTCAGTGCAAACGGGGGGCAGCCAGAGCGCCCCATCCTGCAGAATCCTGCACCGCCAGGGGTGCACAGAACCGGGCCAACGCGCAGGATTCTGCAGGGTCCTGCAACGCCCCACTGCCGCGGGTTTGGATTGACCCTGGTCAGTGCGTCCCCCCAAAAAAGAGGCGGCTCTTGAGCGAGAAGACATAGCAACCTTACGCGGAGGCTTACGCGGGCCGCTAACCTGGCACGCTGCATTAGTAACGAGGGCGCTTACGCGCGACCTTACGCGCGACCTTACGCGGGCAGCCTACGCACCAGTCGGCGCAGACGACCCCGTCTTTTTCCAAGCTGTGGTGTTGGGTCCTCGTTTTGAAGAGACAGCCCCCCGCGTTCATCCTCCTCCTCTCCTCCTCCTACCCCTCCTCCCTCCTCTTTCTGCGACCCCAAAGGGAGCTCAACTGAAGGCCCCAGTGGCAAAGTTCGCATACGGTTCCACCTCAATTTTTGGAACACCCCTCAAACGTTTCGTGGCCCCATCGGGAGCTCCACCGAAGGCCCCAGTGGCAAAGTTCGCATGCGGTTCCACCCCGATTTCGGCACACCCCTCAAACGCTTCGTGGTCCCATCGGGAGCTCCACCGAAGGCCTCAGTGGCAAAGTTCGCGTGCGGTGCCACCCCCATTTTGGCACACCCCTCACACGTTTTGTGGCCCCATAGAGAGGTCCACCGAAGGCCCCAGTGGCAAAGTTCGCGTGCGGTTCCACCCCCATTTCGGGACACCCCTCACACGCTTCGTGACTCCGAAGGGAGCTCCACCGAAGGCCTCAGTGGCAAAACTCGCATGCGGTTTCACCCCCGATTTCGGCACACCCATCACACGTTTCGTGGCCCCATCGGGAGCTCCACCGAAGGCCTCAGTGGCAAAGTTCGCGTGCGGTGCCACCCCCATTTTGGCACACCCCTCACACGTTTTGTGGCCCCATAGAGAGCTCCACCGAAGGCCCCAGTGGCAAAGTTCGCGTGCGGTTCCACCCCCATTTCGGCACACCCCTCACACGCTTCGTGGCCATAGGGAGCTCCACCGAAGGCCTCAGTGGCAAAATTCGCATGCGGTTTCACCCCCGATTTCGGCACGCCCCTCACACGATTCGTGGCCCCATAGGGAGCTCCACCGAAGGCCCCAGTGGCAAAGTTCACATACGGTTCCACCCCCATTTCGGCACACCCTCACACGGTTCCTGGCGCTATAGGGAGCTCCACCGAAGGCCCCAGTGGCAAAAATCGCATGCGGTTCCACTCCGACTTCGGCACACCCCTCACATGTTTCGTGGCCCCATAGGGAGCTCCACCGAAGACGATACTCACAACTGCGGCACCCACAACTGCATATGATTGAGTCCTTCGCCAGGCCAATTTGTGGCGCTCACCTGAGCGGCGACAAGAGACGGCTCTTGCGACAGGAGACATCGCCCAAGACATGCGCGCGTCCTGGAAAACATCGGGGCTTGCCGGGCGCCGGGACCGACAAACAACGACTCATGACGACTAGAAGCTGCCCCCCAAGAAGATCGGGACTGCCGGGAACACAGCACTGCAGCATCACGACCTCGCATGCCCGGGCGCGCGAGAAGGCTCAGCGACCACACGCCGCGGCCTTCGCGGGGGGCCAGCGTGGCGCATCGCTCGGAGAAGAGGGCGCTGGCGGGGCCTTCTGCGCGGGAAGTGTACGCGCACATGCCAGCAGTCGGCCCCGCTTTCCTGCGGAGCTCGCCTGGAAGGCGACGTCCTCCATGCGCTTGCTCTCCTGGGCGGAGCGGGCCCAGACCCTGTCGCGTCGTGACCAGAAGTGTTCGCAGTTTTCGGCCGCTGGGGACCCTCGCCAGGCCCCAGAAGCCCCAAAAAGCAACGCTGGATGAAAAAGGTGTCCGGGAGAATGGGTCAAGACCTCTGGGGGTCCAAGCTGCGGAACAAGAACATGACGACGAGGGTGCTTGCTCTCCAGGCCCCACACCATCGCGTCGTGCAAATACTGCAACGGACTGTTTTGCTGCTTGTCGGGGCGGGACCCGCGCCGGGCCCCGGGACTGTCCAAAAACTATGGCAAGACCTCTTGGGATCCACGCTACAACACTTAGAAGGCAAATCCTTGGAGGACTTCGTGGGAACGGGAAGGGGCTACGAAGTCGTGACCATCAGGCCAGATTAGGCCGGACAAGGCCAAGGAGTAAGGCGGATAGCAGGGATTCAGCGGGGTCGTGCCAGATTATGGGCCGGCTGTCGACCACGGACGTAACAACGCCGATGCTGAGTTAAACCTCCCGGGAGTTCCAGATACATCTGATGCCCTGATGTTTCAATACGCGGTCCAAAGACGTCCCGACCCTTTCCCCGGGACCGGATGTTCTTCCCGAGTAGTTTTTGACGGCCCCCGGCCCAGCGAAGGCTCCAGACGCCTAAACAACGAAAACTGCCGCCTTGTGAATCCCACCAGCCCTTTAGGGCGTGAATGGTTTAGAGCGTTTTCTCTTCCAACCCTCCTATTCCATCCTCTTCCAACACAACTGTTTCCCCTTCGGGGGGGGTACCCCTTCCCTACCCTCTCCCCCTGGACCTGGCCGGGGAGAGGTCGCGACCAGTTAGAGCGTCCAACCAGGCCCCGGCCAGAAGGCTGCATCATTGATTTTTTGGGGGGCCCACTTTGGCCACCTCGGGGAGGGGCTCTAAAAAAGTACCCTCCTGCTTTGATCGACCTCCTCCAAGATGGCCCCCACGGCTCCCAAGAGGCGCCCAGGAGGCCCCAAGAGGCCCCAAGAGGCCCCAAAGAGGCTCCCGAGAAACCCCCAAGAGGCACCAAGAGGCTCACCCAAGGAACCCAAGCGGATCCAAGAGGCCCCCGGGACCGCCAAGAGGCCCCCAAGATCCCCCAAGAGGACTCCAAGGAACTCTCGAGAGACATCCGAAGAGGCCCCGAGAGGCATCCAAGAGGCTCTGGCCTTTCTGCTCGCCCTCCTCCACTTCCTCCTCATCCTCCTTCTCCTCTTCTTCCTCATCCGTCTTTTCCTCCTCGTCTGTCCTCCGTCTTTCCCCCCCCCCCCTCCTACCTCCCCCTCGTCCTTCTCCTCCCCCTCCTCCTCCTCCTCCTCCTCCTCCTCCTCCTCCTCCTCCTCCTCCTCCTCCTCCTCCTCCTCCTCCATCATCCCCCTCTTGCGGCTTCACCAAACCCTTCTTCCACGGCACGCTCCTCCACACCCCTGATCTGGGCAGCTCGCCCGGGCATCGTTTCTGGATAGGCTGGCGGGGTCTAGAATTTCCCATACTCAGCACGGGGGAGGCGGGTCCTGAGGGAAACGGGCCCTGGACCCTCAGGAAGAGTTCTTCAGCCTGAGGCGCTTCCTGACAGCCCAGGGGCCCGTGGAGGGCCCGAAGAGTCCGACAACGGCGATACACCTCAGCTTGCCGTCGCTCGGACGTCCATTTCCGGTGCATTTTTCGATTTCGTGCGTGTTTTTTGTTGCTCGATGGTCCAGGATGGCCTCCCAGCAGAGGGAGGCCGGCGCCACCAGCACCGGTAGGGCAAGAGTCTGGGCTCGGGGCAGGGATCGACCTAGATAGCGGTCTCCATTGTCGTTTTGTTTGCGTTTTCCTTCATTGTCTCTTCAATCCGTCTCTGCTGCAAAGCGAAACCGAAACGGAAAAGGCCCACGAAATCGCCAAAACACCGTCAACCCCTGGGTCGGGGAGACGGAAGGACCCGGACTCGGGAGTCTCGGGGTGGCGTGACGGGGCCGTCAGGAACATGACGAGACCCATGCGGGCAAGACTTATGCCCATATCCAGCGCGTCTTGCACTTTCTCGGAACCGGCACCACGAGGCCGAGGCGCACCATCGGGCCTCTGGGGGCCAGATTTTGATCCATATCCAGTGCGCCTCGGATTTCTGGCGAAGACGGCCTGGAGCTCCAAGCTGCAGTTGATATGGGTACAAAACTTGCCCGTAACCCAGTCTGGAATTTGACAGGAGCTCCCGCTGCAAACATCCAAAGACAACCGAACGGTCAGAATTTAGTAAGAGTGGCCCTAGGCAAGAGTGACCTCTGGAGTGCAACTTCCAGGGGCAGCGGGGAGGCCGAATCAGAGCGCGCAAGCCGCCGCTACCAGATCTCGTTCAGTCATCTGGGGACACCAGTGCGACCACACCAGAGGTCACTCTGGTGACTCTCACGTATAGACGAGTCAGAAAGCGGCGAAGGCCAGTCAAAATGCGGGGGCAGCAAGCGACCACAACCACATCCAGGACACACCCTGGGAGATGTCTTGTGAATATCAAGAACACTCGGAACACCGAAACCAGCTTCGCACTGGTCGTAGTCGATGTGGCGCCCAAGGACGGCCAAATCGACCACATCCACAACCAAAGTGCTCATGTCGAGGCCGGTGACATCTCCCCTGAAGGGCCCTTCCCGAAAATCCCTGTTGCTCTGGTCGCGCTTCTTTGCTGTGCCCAGACTCGTAAATATTATAGCCGAGTCAGCAAGCGACCAAGGCCTGTCAAAAGACGGCGGCAAACTCGAGCTCCAGTGAACTCGAGCCCCGCGCTTCCATGAAAGGAGAGCCCTCCCGGAGGTGCGCTCCCCCTGCCCCGCGGCGTCCCGCTCGGGGCATCTCTCCAGTGTTCCGTCTCGGGGAGGGGATCCCAGGTGGCCAAATTCTATGAAATCTTCCTTCTGCTCGCCCCCACGGACTTCTCAAGTTATGCCTTCATACGATTACTGGGATTCGGTGGGCGCCCACGTGGAATTCAGCCGCCGGATTTGAGTGGGGTCGCCTTGGGTTTAGTGGGATCTATGATCTACGTAATGTGTTTTGTGAATCGGGAAGGCACGACATGTGCTGAACTGGGCACACGTGCGACCGCGTGAGGCTCCCGTGCCTGGCCAGGCCTCCTCTCGCCGGGGATCGGCCCGCTGGTGATGCTACGGTGCATCTTCGGGGATACCGACGCACTGCGATCTGCGTCGAAGCCGTGTCGAATCCGGTGTCGAGCGCGCCGAGTCTGTGTCGAATCCGCGTCGAACTAGCGTCGACTCCGCGTCGAACCCACGGAGGAGTACAAGAAAATACGGCAATTTAAGAACACACGAAAAGGTCCCCCGAAGATGCAGAGTAAGTGGTGGTGGCGCTGGCCCACACAGACCTCAAACGTACTGAGAAACGCCAGGAGAAAGTTGTTCTCAGTCTTTCCCAACCATCCTTTGGTGTTGGGTTCACGTTTTTAGGAGACAGCGCCCTGCGTTCCGCTCCCTCCTCCTCCCCTCCTCCCCCTCCTCCCTCCTCCCACCCCTGCCCCAGTGCCACCGCCCGCATGCGTTCCCGACACCCATGTCGACACACCCCTCAAACGTTTCGTGGCCCCATCGGGAGCTTCACCGAAGGCCCCAGTGCCAAAGTTCGCATGCGGTTCCACCCCCATTTTGCCACACCTCCCACACGGTTCGTGGCCTCTTAGGGAGCTCCACCGAAGGCCGCAGTGGCAAAGTTCGCCTGCAGTTCCACCCCCCCATTTCGGCGCGGTTCGTGGCTCCCATCGCGAGATCAGCCGAAGGCCCCAGTGGCATGGTCCACATGGCAGCGCGCCGCCTCATTTTGGCACACCCTTCACACGGTTGGTGCCCCCATAGGGAGCTCCACCGAAGAAACAGTGGCAACGTTCGCATGATGTTCCACCCGCCTTTCGGCGCACCCCTCAAATGTTTCATGGCCCCGTAGCGAGCTCCACCGAAGGCCCCAGTGGCAAAGTTCGCGTGCGGTTCCCCCCCCGTTTGGCCACACACCTCACACGGCTCGTGGCCCCATAGCGAGATCAACCGAAGGCCACAATGGCAGGGTCAACACGGCGGTGCCGCTCCATTTTGGCGCACCCCTCAGACGGTTCGCGGCCCCCTGGGGTGCTCCACCGAAGGCCCCAACGGCACGATCCACGTGGAGGCGCCGACCAATTGTGGCGCACCCGTCCACATGGCGGCGCCGCCCCATTTTGGCGCACCCCTCACACGGTTCGCGGCCCCATGGTGAGCTCCACCGAAGGCCCCAATGGCAAGGTCCACGTGGCGGCACCGACCCATTGTGGCGCACCCGTCCACATGGCGGCGCCGCCCCAGATTGGCGCAGCCGTCACTCGGTTCGTGGCCCCATACGGAGCTCCACCAGAGGCCCCAATGGCAAAATTCGCATGCGGTTCCACCCCACACACCACAAACGGATCGTGGCCTCTTAGGGAGCTCCACCGAAGGCCCCAATGGCAAGGACCACATGGAGGCGCCGTCCCATTTTGGCGCACCCCTCACACGGTTCGCGGCCCCATGGTGAGCTCCACCGAAGGCCCCAATGGCAAGGTCCACATGGCGGCGCCGACCCATTGTGGCGCACCCGTCCACATGGCGGCGCCGCCCCAATTTGGCGCAGCTGTCACTCGGTTCGTGGCCACGTAGGGAGCTCCACACACCTCAAACGGTTCGTGGCGTCTTAGGGAGCTCCACTGGAGGCCCCAATGGCAGGGTCCACATGGCGGCGCCGCCCCATTTTGGCGCACCCCTCAGACGGTTCGTGGCCCCATAGCGAGATCAGCCGAAGGCCACAATGGCAGGGTCCACACGGCCGTGCCGCCCCATGTTGGCGCACCCCTCACATGGTTCGTGGCCTCATAAGGAGCTCCACCGAACGCGGCGACACAGCACGGTACTCACAATTGCACATGGCTGGGTTTTTTTGGCCAGGCTAATCCCAAAGGTCCTA